GGAGGGGGGAAAAAGTGCAGGCTATTGGCTGTGAAATGCATGGGTTTTATTTTTGGTGACATTACAACCCTGGAATATTCAGGTACAAATACAAATGGCAAAAATCCCACTGAGAAACACACAAACACAGAATGTTTTTGACTGGAAAAATAAACAAAAGTAAGAGGATAAGAAGGATGTTTTTTTAAACACTTTAAATTCTTTAGATTTTTTTGGTTTCAATATTTTTTTTATCTGTTATCTGTTTGTGTATTTTCACACTGCCGTGTTTTTATGTACGGTATTTGCCCATTTCTTTTATTCTCATTAATATTTTTTTTTTATTTTTACCATTTTATTGACTTTTTATTCTCTCAACATGTAGTCTGACTCTCTTTTTTGTTGTTGTTGTTGTCCACGTACAGGTTCACTTTGTTTTTGCTGCTTTTATATATTTATTGTGCATCACTTAGATCAGCCACGCTGTTGGTGCAGTACGGTATGGTATAGTTTGGTACGGTACGGTGTGGTGTGGTATTCAGCATGTTAAACTCCTATGTTAAGCTAAAGTAATAAAAAAAAAAACATTTAAATTAAATATTGTTGTCTGAGCCGACAGACAGACTGACTCACACACAGTCTGGTCTTCGTGAGTCGTAAGGACTCCACATAGACACAGTGGTTTCCCATCCCCTCAACATAACCTCAGCTATTACAGATGTCTTCCTAATTGAATCCTCGCCCTAATCCTAACCCGGCCCTGATTCTAATCTTACTCTGAACTAAATCCTAATCCTCAAAATGCTGTTTTTTGCAGTGTCTTTACAAGGCCAAAAAAAGCATTTTACCAAAAAGTTGTGTGTAATAAAGTAAAGCTATGCATACACACACACACACACACACACAGAGAGAGAGAGAGAGAGACAAAGCAAGAGATTGGGTGGGTGTTAATTTCAAGCCCTGTTGATCATAATTATTTAGACTTCTCTGGTTTTCCATCGATCTGCAAACACAGTCTTAGCAAAAGGCAGATTTCAGATAAGCTTTCACCACATAAAACTGAAATGTCTCAGAATCAAACAAATCATATTCCTGAGAAGTGTTTATTTTACTGAGCGTTAGTGAATACAAGGCTAATGTTAAATAAAACAAAAACCTCACAGATGACCGTTGACTGTACCCCCGAAAGGCCAATCAATGTTGATTAGAGCCTCACATGACTAATGGAGGTGTTTGTCACGCAGGTCTCTGATGTAGACGTCTGGAGAAAAAAAACCAAAACAACAATTAATAGCTTCAACTTCTACATCCTCCAGTAAAACATGTTTATTTACGCAGCACTTGAAAAAAAAAAAGTTTACCAACAACAGAAAAGTGAAGATAAGATAAAACACTATAAAAGTAATACGTTTGAAACAGCGACGTACCATCGGACAGCATCAAGATTAGGGCCAGATTGAAAAGATAGGACTTTAAATCCAATTTAAAAAAACATCGATGGAAGGAGGACGAGCTGATGTGGACGGCTGCAGTGTTTCGCCTCCTCCACTCCATCACCTTTAGTTTTCTGGTGCTGAGACAGGGACTGATAAAAGCTGCTGAGAGGACGACCTGAGCGACCTGGGAGCAGAGTGTGGAGCGAGAAGATGTGAGATATACTGCAGCGTGAGACAATTGAACGCTTTAAAAACAAACACCACCGAGTGCTTTGAAATGCAGTACGTCAGAGGTAATCAGAGCTGCTAGTTCAGGACCGGGTGTGTGTGTGTGTGTGTTGACTACTTTTGTAAGGAGGCTTCATTTTATTCTCTGAATTATATTATGGTAGATTGTTGTTGTCTGCACAGGGTGGAGTTGGAGACATCAGGTAGGGGGCAGTGGTGGCTTAGTGGTTAAGAAAGCGGAGTTGGGTCTGGAAGTTTTCAGGTTTGAGTCCACCAGCTGCCAAGTTTCCACTCAGGTGCTCTGACTATGGCACCGTCCCCCCACACACTGCTCTCCTGGCACTTAAGCTGCCCCCAGCTCACGTTGGTGATGGGTAAAAAGTAGAGGTCACATTTGGTTGTGTGCAGTGGTGTGCTGTGTCAGGATGGTCATCTAACTGTATCCTTAATGGTGGCTTCCTTGGTGTAACCGCCCAGACAGTGTGTCCTGATTTCCTCCTGGAACTTTCCCCACACTCGTCCATATAGTTAACAGTCACAGACCCCAGTTCTCTGAAGCTTCTTTTTAGCTTTTCATTTATTTAATTTAATGAAATCTTTTTTTTTCTTACGTACTTGGTGCAGGTTGGCAGCAGTGTAAACATCCTGCAGGCATACCGAGAACACAGTGGCTACAAAGATCTATAAAAACTCATTTAAATTTATGTCTCCTCTCAGCGGCGGTGGCCCTCAGGGGCGTCCGCCGCTGCCTCGCTTGTTTTCGGGTCTGCATCCAATCCTGCTGGGGCACAGCAACTGCCCACCCCGTGCTCCCTGCCTGTGGATAAGTACTGGGGGGGGGGCAGAGAGATGCTTTAGAGATTGCTTTAATAGTTTGACTGCATTTGTGGAGAGAGGATGGAACGAGTGGTTCGTTCATCAGTCGCAGCAGTGACACAGGCTGTTGAAGACGGTAGAGACTGTGTTCAGACCTGGCCATGCCCGTGTGAACAGATAACTGTGTTTGGTTTAATATAGTGCCGTCAAAATTCACGTGTTAATTGGGTTAATTAATTTTTGAAATAAATAGGAATAAAGTTTCAACCGTGTTTTTTGGCCAATAATTCCACTTATCGTCACACGAATCTACAGTCGATACACGTGTCATTTATACACACTGTGAGGAAAATGTATTCATTTCAGTTATAATTAATAATAACAGGGGTGTGTTATAATTATAACAACATCTCAAGGATTAGCATGCGTCCGCGGAGGCTTCAACATCAGGTCAGACAGGCGACTTGCGACCTGCCTCGCTCTAGCTGCTGTGTGTCTTTCCGATCCAGCAAAACATAATAAAAAAAAAAAATTTTCGGCTAATGTTGACTTGACTTAAAAAAATCATTTTCGGCTTATGGTGGAATGTTGACTTGACACGTCTAGTCACGATTAATCGTGACTAATCACGATTAATCAGAATTATATACACATTTTAAATCCCTTTCTATCCCTAGTTTAACGCCGTTACGTGTAGCGTCGGGTTCTTTTCTAACAAGACTCACGATGTTTATTGATTCTTCCAGCAGATGTAACTGCTTCTTTCTGCTAATCACAGAAAATAATATTCCATTTCTCTCTCTCCACTAACTCCAAAAGTACCACAGCTGCTGCCACACACCTG